AAATGATGTTAAAGACAAAATCAAAAGATAAAACTCAAAGATCCCTTTACGCTAGGGAAAATCGTTTCAGATCTGTTGTCCAGTAACATAGAAGCTAGCCAGAAGAATTCATTTGAAATTATCAGTGGAAAAAATGAAGGTAATGAACACCACCTACCGTGCACCAAAAATAGTTTTGGTGGCCTGTAATCTAAGCAAGAGAGGAATGAAAGTAACAATAAAGATGGAAAAAGTCGGGATAAAAGAGGTGAAAAAGGTCATATAAGAAAGAAAGAAAGTTTCGCCAAAATGACGTCACAAGATGACGCGATATCCTGCAGCAATTCCAGTAATGAGTGGCCAGTTCAGGCATTTTTAAAAGACAATAGACCAAATCGTCAACACCATGCATTAAACCTGATCGAAGAATGTATGGAGATGGGAAAAGAAAAGATTATTTTTTTTTTTTTGGCGAGTGGACGCTATACAAGGAGTCAATGAAGAGGTAAAGAAGTGGATTAATGCCCCAGGGAATCACAAGAAGGCGCTGATGTTGATAGGCATACGAATGGCAGAAAGGATTGGCCTTAAAAGTCAACGGCTTTGACTGAACAAGAAAAAAACAAACGACGAGAGGGAGACAAGTGAGTAAAAGAAAGAAACACGAAAGAAAACAAGTGAGAGGAAAAGAGAGAAGAGAAACACAAAAGAAAGATGGGGTAAGATGAAAAGAGAAGAGAAAAAAAAACAAATCAAGGAGATAAAAAGAAAACGAAAAACAGAGGAAAATTAAAAAAAAAGGTTAGGAAGAAAAAGAGAGGAGAAGAAAACACAAAAAGAAAACGGGTGGAAAGAAAAAAGAAGAAAGAGAAACAAACAATAAGAGAGGGAAGAAGGGGGAGAAAGATGAGGAAAAAAGGAATGGTAGGAGGAAAAGAGAAAGGAGGAACAAACAAAAGAAGAAGGTAGGAGAAAAAGAGATAAGTTAAAAACAAGGGAAACGGGCTAAAGTAAAAGAGAGAAGAGAGAAAATTCAAAGTAGAAAAAAAGAGAAGAAGAAACAAATGAAAATAGGGGAGAAGAGAGGAGGAGGAAACAAAAGAAGAGGGTAGGAGAAAAAGAGAAAAGAAAAGCAAAAAGAAGCAAAAAAGTTACACACACATCATATGTAGATTTTTGAGTCGAACTTTCCTATTAAAAACATTTTAAATCTACCTTCCATCTCGTGTAAAAGTCGATCTGATTTTTAAACGTGTCTCCGCTTTTATATAAGCGGAAACAAAAACGTAATTTAACCATCGATTTGATAATGAAAAATCCCCAATATACCATCAAAGACCAATAAATGAGGAACAGATCGATGCGATGCCATTACCGATTTTATTGATTAGGTTTTGTCTCTTTCCCATCCAATAATGGATGGGTGTTTCTTCACGGAGGTTCTTTGCCTTGAATGCCTATTGGGGTTCAAGTCCCACTCCTGGCCACATGTACAACTTAATTATCCAATCTAAGTTCCCTTCACCGTTCCAGTAAGTATCTGAATCGTCCCGTCTTTACAAGATCCAGATCAGACCAAAAATGGATTATTGCTGCCATATCTGGGAGAGGGGGGTGCTTAAGCTGCCCAGTCCTCACATACCCGTCTTGAAAAAGCATCTACGCGGCCTTATTTCTTGTCCTACATCCCCTTTCCCACAAACGAAATTTCTGAAGCCTAGCTCTGCCCTATTGCTATTCCCATGGCTAGTGGTCTAGCGAGAGTTATATTCAGCCAGACTTGACCTTTAAAGCTAAGATCTACCATGCCACGTACAGAAATATGAATCATCCTTATTCCCCCCTTATTCCATTCATAAGAAGATTTTGAAAAAGTCATAACTTCTCTGTTTTTCATTTTTTTTATTTCATTTTTTTCCAGCTTATAGAGCATTCATTAGAGATTAAAATGGCTACGTATGATGTCCAGCAGAGAGTAAAACTCATTGAGTTTTTCTATTTCAATGAAAGATCAATGATTCAAACTCATTTTAATGTCAGAGTATCTCCTAGCGAAAACATGATTCTGAACCCGGGTTGAAAGAACGGGATCAGTTGGCAATCTTCCGGGAAGAGGTCCTATGAGCACTGTGTACACGGACGTGGTGGAAGGTGTACGGCATAGTGTCCTTGGGGATCCATCGGCATCTACCCGCCGTCGCTCTGCAGAACTAGGCATCGCCATAACATCATTTCAGAAGATTCCGAAACTGGATTAAAAAACGTTTCCATACAAGATTCACATGGTCCATGTTGACCATGTTTGCCGTAGTCTCTGAATATGGAATCCAGTGAAGTACGTAATGTGTTCAATATCAGAGGTTGGCAGTGAAGATTCGGAGAAAGTAGCAGCTGTTAAGTAATTCTTTAAGTCTTCGATATCCCGTTGGCAGTGAAGATATTTTGGGAGAAAAAACAAAATGGCTGCCTTTATACACGTCGGATTGAATATTTTGAGCTTTCTGATTGGTTAACCCTTCTATAAAATGAGTCAGTTCATTTTGACTTGCTCACTAGTAAATCAGAGTACCCCAAAATTCTAACAGTCCAAACTTTACTACGCGAAGACACTCATGTGTTTGTAATGTTGTTTTTGTTTTATATCGTTCAGTCTTTTAGTGGCCACTCTGTACAAAGTTTTACATATAAAATTTAATTCAGCAATTTTACTCCCCGTCTGGCTTCATTATAGCATTTTTTTTATTTAAAGAAAATGTTAATAACTTTCTTCTTTTGATAAATGTTTTTAACACCCCTCTTGAAAGAAAGTGTAATAAACAAAACTTATTTATATTATTTTCTTTATTTACCCTATAATGATCTTTATATAATTTTTTTTATATATATAATTCTTAAAAAAATAGTCTGTTCATATCTATCTATCTATCTATCTATCTATCTATCTATCTATCTATCTATCTGTCTATCTGTCTGTCTCAGTCTGTTCATATCTATCTATCTATCTATCTATCTATCTATCTATCTATCTATCTATCTCAGTCTGTTCATGTCTATCTTTCTATCTATATATATGAAAATAATAAGATAGATAGATACTATCTATCTTATTATTTTCTTTATTGTACCCTATAATGATCTTAATATAATTTAGTTTTTAGTAGTATATATATATATATATATATATATATATATATATATATATATATATATATATATATATATATATATATATCTGTGTGTGTGTGTGTACGTGTGTATGTATATATATATATATATATATTCTAACAAAATAGTCTGAAACGACACTGTGTGAACTGGTAGATAATTCAGTGAGTTTGACACTGTCACACAGATATGACATTTGGAGGAAACTGGTCAGCTGCTCTGCTTTCCGGTGACCCTACGACCATACCTCGACATACAAGCGATGATGATGATGATGATGATGATGATGATGATGATGATGATGATGATGAAATACGACACATTAAGGCAAAAGGGATAAAATAGCGAATGATGAAAAGTGAGAATTGCCCAAAAATGTAATATCGGCTAAAGAATGAGAAAAAGTCATCCCGATAGTCGTATGAGTAATTAAAGCAAATTCAAATGACGGTTAAACTACTTTTAAATCAGTGGCTTTTCTTTAGGGCAAAGGCTGGCCAGCTCATCTTGTTTATTACAACTGATTGGTGAACTTGATTCACACTGGGTGCCCTAAGCATGAGGCCTTGGGGCAAAACTTAACTGAACATGGTACATCATATTTTTTTTTTTTTTTTTTGCTTAGGCTGACATAAAATGTATGTTCAGTTTCAATAAGCAGCAACACACTATCGCACTTAAACTGATCATGTCAATGTAATTTTTACTTTTGTCTGAAACGCGTCCCTAAAGCCTAATGTTGAAGTAATTGGACAATTTCTGGTTCGATCCTTATCTACATGTGTGATTTCCACGTTAACCGCAATTTTGTATGACATTTTCCCTTGTGGAGAGGTTGTATATTGTTCGGATAAGATTAACAAGAAAACAATTTATAAATGGACTTTCGCAATAGGAATTATATAATATTTATTAAAATTAGCGAGGAACAGAATTGAATTATTAGATAGAAGAGGAAAACTGCTCGACAATTATTGTCTAATAGATAGATAGATAGATAGAGAGATAGAGAGAGAGAGAGAGATAGGAACAGAGATAGATACGAACAGACTGAGATAGATAGAGAGATAGATAGATAGATAGATAAATAGATAGATAGATAGAAACAGAGATAGCTATGAACAGACTGAGATAGATAGATAGATAGATAGATAGATAGATAGATAGATAGATGAACAGACTGAGATAGATAGATAGATAGATAGATAGATAGATAGATAGATAGATGGATAGATAGATAGATGGATAGAAACAGAGATAGCTATGAACAGACTGAGATAGATAGATAGATAGATGGATAGATGGATGGAACAGAGATAGATATGAACAGACTGAGATAGATAGATAGATAGATAGATAGATAGATAGATAGATAGATAGATAGATAGATATGAACAGAGATAGATATGGACAGACTGAGATAGATAGATAGATAGATAGATAGATAGATAGATAGATAGATAGATAGATATATATGAACAGAGATAGATATGGACAGACTGAGATAGATAGATAGATAGATAGATAGATAGATAGATAGATAGATAGATAGATAATATAGATAGATAGATAGATAGATAGATAAACAAAACCTACGTCAGGCTAAATCTGTTTTATCGCAGAAAGAAAAGATAAATAAGTAGTGGGAATTTTACTTTCAGGCAATTGAAGAGAACAAATCTCAGTCCTCAATACGAAGTCGAGGGTCAGAGGTCATTTCCGGATCCCCCTGAAGGTTTTTGCAAACGTTCGACCGATGAACTGCCCTGCCTGTAATTATTCTTGATGTAAAGAACAGATTTCGAGATCCATCAAGTTGAACACACGTCAAAGATGATTTCTTCACGTTACAACGAATGATTTTTCTTCCTTTGCTCCTGACCTGTCAGTCGGTACAATTTGTTCAAAACCTGGCACCCAATGGAACCCCTAACCAAAATGTATTCAAAGCGGAAAACGTCTTTACCTTGTAGTTTGTTATTTTAATTCGCGAGTACCCCCCAAAAAAAAGAAGAAACGCTTTTACCTCCTCATTCCAATTGTAGCTTCGTTGACATTGAAATTACAGCATTTCGTTCGTCCATTTTTTTGTTCATCCTTTCTACTCCGTCCTATTCTTTCTTTGGATTTTTGCCAAATCGATGTATCATCAAGTGTGCCATATATCATTGGAACAATAATCTCATATCTATCTATCTATCTATCTATCTATCTATCTATCTATCTATCTATCTATCTATCTATCTATCTATCTATCTCAGTCTGTTCATATCTGTCTCTGTTCCTATCTATCTATCTATCTATCTATCTATCTATCTATCTATCTATCTATCTATCTATCTCAGCCTGTTCATAGCTATCTCTGTTTCTATCTATCTATCTATCTATCTATCTATCTATCTATCTATCTATCTATCTATCTCAGCTTGTTCATATCTATCTATCTCTGTTCCTATCTATCTATCTATCTATCTATCTATCTATCTATCTATCTATCTATCTATCTATCGCAGTCTGTTTCTCACACTATCTCAGTCTGTTCATATCTATCTATCTATCTATCTATCTATCTATCTATCTATCTCTCTCTCTCTCTCTATATATATATATATATATATATATATATATCGCAGTATGTTCCTTACTCTATCTCAGTCTGTTCATTATCATCTATCTATCTATCTATCTATCTATCTATCTATCTATCTATCTATCTATCTATCGCACTCTGTTCCTCACTCTATCTCAGTCTGTTTATATCTATCTATCTATCTATCTATCTATCTATATATATATATATATATATATATATATATATATATATATATATATTTAAGTTTTTAATGCTCAATATCAGGGATAGAGTGTATATAATTAAAAAAGTCAACATTGAGGTCAACATGGCTGCATTTAAATATAAGAGAGACTGTCGCTACTGGTTGTTGACTTCAACGTCTACATTTATATATATATATATATATAGGGTTGTATGTATTTGTGTGTTTGTGTGTGTGTGTGTGTGTGTGTGTGTGTGTGTGTGTGTGTGTGTGTGTGTGTGTGTGTGTGCAAGTATAATTATATTATCTATCTATAAAAAAATATAAGCCAATTTTGAAAATGTCTATTTTCGCCTATTCCGACTATGTATCGGTTCCATGAGTAATAAAAATTAACAAAATCAAATTAAAGAAGACACTGTCGCATGCCACCGGATCTTTCGTGAACACAATTTTGACTTGGAAAATGTCGTTTTAATATAAACTAAATCTAATTTACTCAGACGAAGATATATTGAATGTAACATCCTATGATTTCCCTTCCATTAATATCTGGCAAGGCTAATTAACTGTATCACAAATTAGAACTGTCCCAATTTGGAATAAGAACAACTGAAAATAATTAAATATATATAAAAACTGAGTTGAAATGACTTAATATTTTTTCTAAAGATAGAAAGTAAAAATTAAGCGATCATATTGTAAGGTCAGTATTAGCCGTTTCCTTATAAGGAAATATTCAGCATTTATTAACCTAGCAGTCTGTTGGTGTCGATTGAAATTTATACAATGTTTCTGTTAAAACAATTTTATTTAGAAAAATAGTTTTCTTAAGTCCACTAAAAAGAAGTTTATCTTAAGTATACACTCTCCTACACCAGTATAAGGGTCTACGTTCCAACTTTCCCGTTTTGGAGAGCGATCTTCTTTTATCTAGCCCTGTTTCTGTCGAAAACGGGAACCAATGCCTCACAAACCTAGACATCTTACCTATTATAACAAATAATTCATCACCTAAATCGTCTTCGACGTGGAATCGGTTCCTATATCAAGAGCGGATTTCCTTGTGGAAGAGACCCCAAAAGGGGAGCCCTGATCTCCCGTATATGTGCTTCTGCGTGTCATTTATTCATAGTACCACCTTCGTCTTTACTCTGTATCGTCCCCAGGATAAAGGGTCGGTAATCTTCGATCGAATATCAGAAAGGACTGACAATATCCTCATGGGAATTCCTTTCACGTATGCAGTGGCTTTAATGTTAGCCACAAAGAATGCTTAGTTCACTCTAACAAAAGCGATGACGAAGGCAGATATTGCCGAGACTACTTCATTGCCAATAAACTAACCCAGATCATTTGAAAAAAAAAACACCGAGTCCCGGATGCGACGGCACAGCAGGTGATCCTCGTCCTTTTTCTAACATCCTGTCCTGACAAATGCTCAGCAAAAGTTTTAATATTGGCACCACAGACCATTCCTTATTCAGTGTCCAGATTGACTCCAAACCATAGAACGGCTTTTCGCTAGGCGAAGGCAGACTGAATATCTTTAGATTCTATATAAACGGAAGTTCTTCTCCCCAAGTTCTTCTTCAAACACGCTGCCCCCGGAATTGACGTCCTAGACTACGAGTGGATAATTTCTAAAAGTGGTTAATACCTCCTAAAAACTTCCAGCAAAAACCAAAGTGTTAGCCCTGGTTTACCCCTAAATACGCTGCCGCCATAGCTCACCAGAACACTTACGTCGAGATATCTATCGCTAGGAAAAGTGTAGTCTTGCCCTTACTAATTTCAGAACCGCCCTCAATCGCTGAGAGTTATGGAAAACGCAAAGTGCAGCTACGCGCGATCTGTCCAGGCCAAGGTTGAAAAGAAACAAATTGGATTTCACGAATTCTGGAAGATCATGAACCAAATTATGAACGATGTACCCACAATTATAAATGGCCCGGAAATCATATCCTCCTCGACAGACAAGGCGAAGCTCTTCGCCTCGATCTTTGCCTCAATCTCAACGTTAAATGACAAAGGCCATTCCCTCCCTAACTTCCCACGTTTCACTGAACACAATCTCAGTCATATACTTATTTCAGTAAGTAAAGTCTGGAGACTTCTCAAAAGCCACGACCCCAAAAAAGCAACTGGCCCAGACAAAATTTCAGTGGTCGTCCTTAAGAATATCAACCTAGAATTATCCCCGATCATAGCAAAATTATTTAACTGCTAAATATTTCCCAGGACTATGAAAGGTGATAAGCGTATCTTCAGGAAAGCGGGCAACCAATTCTCGCCTTCCCAGTATAGACCTATTAGTCTCCTCATTAGTAAGCCTTTTGAAGCCTTAATCAACAAGAAAGTCGTCGGCATCGAGATAGTAACAAGCTCTTCTGCGACGAGCAGTATGGGTTTCGATCAGTCCGATCCAATGCTGACGTCCTGTCATTACACACTGAATTAGTGAGGCCCTTGAGGACACACACGATGCAAGAACCGTGGCATTAGATATCTTGAAGGCCTTCGACAAGGTGTGGCACAATGGTTTGCTATACAAGCTCTCCAGCTATGGAATCATTGGAAATGTTTTCCTTTTTAGCCTTTGGCTTGAAGTCCTACGGAACATCATAATAATGACATTATTCATGTATTACCCGTTTTAGGTGCTTTATTGTTGTTGTACTTGTTGAAAATCCTTAAGTGATGTGGTTTCTGTATTTACATAATGTTCTTTGAAAGATAACATTATAGACTTTACTAAACGAGTTTGATGCTATGCATGACATTCACATAAGAGTCGCGATTTAACGAGACAGAGTATATTATTAACTGGAAGCGATGGCAAATAGAAAAGTTATTAAGCGCTACAGAGTCACAATTTGAGCTGAGGTCGAATTCAAGTCGAGTTCATTACATTAAACTAATACCCCTAGAAAAGGTATAAATCCATCTCTTCCCTCTTCACTATTTAATGGTAAATAGTCTGGGTTCTATCGCCTAGGGTGGCAAACGATCTAGAAGCTGGAAAACTCTGAATTCAAACTAGCATGGAAAATCAGGAGTTAGACACCCGATGGCAATTAATCACCCAGTACTATCTGGTATAAGAAGACAGAATGCATAGTCATCAGTAAAAGGGTGATCCCGACATGCGATCTGGGAAGTGTTTAGACAGAGAACGGTAAGTGCGACACTGAGATCCGAAGACGTATTCGAAGTGGTCAAGGATGCATTTCAAAAGCTAGGCAGAGTATTACAAGTCAGGAGTATTTCTTTGCTAACAACGAAAAGAATTCTGAGCCGATACGTGACATCTGTCCTCCTTTACGGCAGCGAATGTTGGACGGTCTCCACAAAGATGAAGAAGCGACTCGAGGCGACGGAGATATGATTCTACAGAAGGATACTGAGGATATCATGAACAAAATGCGTGAGCAATTATGAGATCTTGGAGAGGGTGCAAACAAGGAGGAGGCTTATACTTAACATCAGGAAGAGGCAGAAGCAATTTCTGGGACACGTAATGAGAAAAGAAGGCTTGGAGAATTTGATACTCACAGCTCGAATAGAGGAAAGAGAGACAAGGGCCATACCTGGCAGGCTTAATCAAGTGGATGACAGAACGTAGTCTGGTGTAGGTGGCAGAGGGACGAAACTTATTGAGAGCTATAAGGGATAGGACGAAGTGGAGAGACATGATCACCTACATTCTGATAGGACACACCACTTAAAAGAAAGACTATCTGGCATTACCTAACATCCCCTGCTGCCAGCTTTCTCACCCCAGACGCCACACACTTGTGTGCCCCTGGGATTGTAGAAGAAGCAAGAATGGGTTGCTGTATGTAGCTCAGCGCACACCATTGCAACTAAAGTAACATGCGCAAGCACCCACCTGTACTAGTTTGGGTCATCGTGATTCTCGATGGACTCCTTTTAATATCTACAAAGGACAGAAAATTGTAGCGAGTCAAGATATGGAAGGTAGACGGCACATGGAAGATCTTCCCCTGACGTATCATAGTGTAGCTTACTCATGGGTTTCACAACAACTGAAGGAAAGCAAGAAGAAAGGATTAATCATCAACTGCTACAAGACAGAATGCATGGTTGTTAGCAAAAGGATGAGACCAAAGGACGAATCGCAAATCAGAGTTACCAAAATGAAATAAGTGCGGAAATTTAAATACTTGGGAAGTGTTTTAATAGAGGACGGGATGAGCGACACTGAGATTCGAAGGCGTATAGGGAGAGCGAAAGATGTTACGGTTTTTTTGGTATATATGCCTATAACTAGGGTATTTATTCTTGTAAAATACAAGGAATTGTGGCACAAGGCCGAAAGGGGAGGGAGTAGAGGCTGGTCTTCACTAACTATCTTATACCTAGCTAATCTGATTCACGACCCATTCATACGTTACAATTTACTCATTCACCACAAGAACTTGTCCATCACCACTCAATCCTTCATGCACCATAATACCGGATTCTCACAAGGGGGATCTACCAAAACGCGCCCCAATCCATAAAAATTTGATGATACATAAAATGCTATACATAAAATTCTAATAATGATAGGATGCAAGGGGAGGGAGATGAACCCAATAAAAAACTAAAATAAACACAACATTCAAACTAAACATAACATATGTTAGTAGGGACCGTCCAACCCTCAAAACAGAGAGGCCGCTGTATTCTGCCCCGAGGACAAAATCAAGAAGCACTCTCGCTAAGGGAGTGGGAAAGGAGGATAAAATATTATGCCGGAATGGGTAATATAATGCTGACCCAGTCGAGATGAAAAGGGGGACCAAAACAAACTGGGGAGGTTGGGGATCTCGACTTGGACCATAACCAAAGAGCAGCCGGGATACAGACCAGGAACGACACTTACTCACATTAACTAGGTACACTGAAGCTTGTCTAACCTAACCAAGGGGAGGGTTCCACAGGAAGCCACCCCGATGTGCTATA